ATGTTTTTGCTCTTCTCCCGACTGGTTTCAGCAAGAGTTCGATCTATCAATTGGCTCCTCTTCGTCGTCGCTCTGTTAGTACGTCAATGCTTCGTTGATCTGATTGGTTTATTTGGCCCGTCTATCACCAACATAGGCCAATCAGCTAACCCCTTCCCAAAATTACTTCAACGGAAGGTTTGCGGATATGCGGAGCAAATCCATCTGGCGGAGTCAGGTTACCGGGCAAAGCCCGGTATCACAGATTACCAGTCTGAGCCTGGTCCTGGAGTCTGGATGATAATATATCCATCATGTCCCAGTAAAGACCTGAGGTAGCTCCTAGGGACGTCAGCTTAATATTCAATTCCTTGATTCTCTGAAGAACTTTGAAGTAGAAGGAAAACGATGCATGATTTTCAAGTAAAATCGACTTTTCTGAGCTTTTTAATGAATGTTGTGATATTTTTCCTTCATAAGAATCATGCCTATAGTACTGTGTTTGTTTCATGCATGTCTTAGTAATCCTCTACTCTCTGAACAAACACTGAATTTTGTAACTTGAACAGAAAATGTGGAGCAATTCAAATGCTTGTCTTTCAACTAGATGCAGGATTCCTGAAATATCAGCAGCAGGTTGTCTCTGTTTTGTTTTTGTTTTTTTTTAACTTCCTGAGATCTCTGCTCCCCCTTAGGTTGGTTTGTGTCTGGGCTCCAAAGTGGACAGTTTGGCCCTGCCCGGCAGCAGCCTAACAGAGGCCTCCCTGCTGGACCTCCTGCCCCGTCTGACCTCCCTTAGGCGGCTCGACGTCAGAGGCCTGGACAGCCTCTTCATGTCTGGGGCCTTCCTCTCCAGAGAGGAGCACAGACGGCAGGTAAAGGCGTGAGGCTGTGGTTCATCAGGTGAACTTTCAGCTGTAAGATCAGAACCTTCAGCGTTTTTTCCCGGGTTTCCTCTCACTTCCTGTTTCTGCTGCAGGTCCGATCTGCATTGAGCGGTCTGGAGGAGCTTGACCTGTCGGACCTGCGCTATCTCTCTGACCTCACCTTCACCCGGCTCACCAGCTGCACCCCACGCCTCCGCCGGCTCTCGCTGGCCGGCTGCCACATCGCCTTCGAGTTTGACCCGTACCGAGGGAGCCCGGTGGGAGCTGTGGAGGACTCCTCCGCTCTGCTGTCGCTCAGGAACCTGAGGAGGTTGTTAACGGAGCAGAGCTCCACCCTCAAAGCTCTGGATCTTAGCAGAACCTCCATCACCCCTGAATCACTGCGGATCATTGCTCAGGTCAGCAAACAGTAAACAGTCTAAAGGTCTGGAGTTTTAACTCGTTGTTGTAGACCCAGAGTGTTTATTGTCATTATGAGACTGTATAGAAAGGATTGAGATGTTGGGAAAAGGATATTAAAACAAAAAAATGAGCCTCCTCAAAGGAGAACCACAAAATACAAAAACACCCTCAGAAGAAAAACATGAATCATTGAATATTGAACAACCTTTTAAGCCTCCGGGAAGAAAAGTTCTGACACTGGACAGCATGTTGTATATAATCATTTCTCCCTGAATGTTGCTTAAAATTTGGCACCTGGTTTCCTTCTATTTACATCAATTAAAGGATGATTTTCTGTTGGACTAAATGATGGTTTCCATCAGAAGATCTGCAGGGTCTGGGATTCGGTTCTTAGGAAATCCTATCTTGCATGTTTCCTTTAGGTTCAGGATTTGGTCCTAGAGGAGCTGCATCTTCAGGGCTGCAGAGAGTTGACTGACTACTCCGTGGAGGTTCTGATTAAGCACCAGCCTAAACTCCTGAAACTGGACATCAGTGGCTGCACAGGACTGACCAGCAGGTCGGTGGAGGCTGCAGCTCGTGGCCTGGAGTCTCTGACGCATCTCTCCTTGTCTGGAGACTGGAGGATCACTGAAAAAGGTCAGATGAGTGCTTTTACTCATCTTTATTTCTCACAGCCTCAGCTCTTTTCCTCCGCTCCTGATCTGGTTACTGTTGTTGGGCTGAGCCAGCCTGGCTGTGTCCATGTCTTCTAATGCTTTAAACCTGCCATCATCATTCCCGTCCCAAAGAAGTCTCAGATCACCTCGCCCAATGACTACCTCCCTATTGCACTGACTCCTATCATAATGAAGTGCTTGGACTGGTTAAAGAACACATCCTTTCCACTCTCCCCCCAAAATTCGACCCGCTCCAGTTCGCCTACCGATGAAACCGCTCCACTGAAGATGCCATCTACTGAGCTCTTCACCTGAGCCTAGCGCACCTGGAGGAGAAGAACAGAGGCTGTTCCTGGACTTCAGTTTTCAACACCATCATCCCACAGCATCTAATAGGCAAAATGGAACAGCTGAGCTTCAATACACCCATCTGCAACTGGCTGCTAGACTTCCTCACTAACCCTCAATCAGTCCGGGTCAGACAGAACACCTATGATGTCATCAGTCTAAGCACAGGCTCCCCTCAGGGCTGCGTCATGAGCCCCCTGCTGTTCACCCTGGTGACACATGACTGCGTCCCCAGGTTCACCACCAACCACATCATGAAGTCTGCAGACGACACTCTCAATCATGTCACTGACTCTGCATCACACTGATAACACAAAACCAAAAATAATGCATATTTGCAGCATATATATTAATGCTCTGAACTTCCATTAGAATGCGTTTTCTTCCACAATGTTTACATTTGATCACTGCTGCACTTCAAGGAATGGAAATGTTATGAAAGGGTACAAAATGCAATTTTGTTTTGTAAACACTCTGTTTATACTAAATAACAGTAAAAGTTGTCTAAGTCTAGTGAGCAGGAATGTCTTCCTTGTCTCCAGGCCTGGCTGAGCTGCTGTCTGTCTCCTCCCTGCTGTCTCTGGATCTGTCCGAGTGTCTTCACATCAGTGGAGTAGAGCTGGTAAAGGGACTGAAGGGCTCTGACACTGCCAAAGCAAAGCTGGAGGCGCTCAGCCTGAGGAGCTGCACGTACCTGAGGGTCAGTAAGCGATCCAATGTTTGGCTTCCTCCAGGAAGTAAATGCCACCAATCAGCTGCCTGCCTTCTCTCTTCAGGATCCCGCCGTTTTTTCCCTCGCTCAGCTCCTTGGGGATTCTCTGCGTGAGTTGGATCTAACGTCATGTATTAACGTGACCGACGTGTCTGTATACGCCATCAGCGCCTACCTGCAGAAGCTGGAAGTGCTGCGGCTCGGCTGGTGCAAGGAAGTCACAGATTGGGGTTTGTTAGGGATGGGACAGAGAAGTGAGAGTGAGCCAGATGAGGAGATGGTGAGAACCACTGCTGCATACCAAGCTTCAGCTCGGAACCTTACATCCATTTCACCTTTATCATCATTTTATCTTTGTGCTCACAGGGGGACAAAGGTCCAAGGTTCACCCGGACCTTTGGCAACATGGGCTTCTTCAAGCCTCCTCGGATGCCTTTTGAAGAGCGCCCCAAGCTGCTGACTCAGAACGACCTTCAGCAGTTCAGACAACAGGCCGGAGCGTCGCTGCTGGCTCTGAGACGGCTGCGGGAGCTGGACCTGTCAGCCTGCGCTAAGCTGACCGACAGCAGCGTCACACAGGTGGCTCCAGATGGGAGAACCAGACTGATTCTGGCCTCTTCTAACCAACCAGGCCCTAATGGGTGCAGGGTGTCCAATCCGTGACCATAGATCTTTGCAGGTCCAGAAGTGGAATTTTAAAGATGCATTATTATCCAGAACCAAAACATTTTAGAACCCAAACTAACTTCAGTAAAATTATAGGAAAAAAAATCTAATCAAAACTTATGTGGATTTTTTTTTGTCCCATTTCAGCTCCTCAGACAAAGAAAAATAATTTGATCTGGTACAAAAAGGAGCTTTTATTTTATTCCTGAAGGGGAGAAAAATGTGTCCGAACCGACCCAGAGCTAAAGGGGAGGTTGACCTTCGACTCTAAAGTCCTCCTCGCTGATCTGTAGACTGTTAAGGTTCTGGTAGCTTCTCTCCTCCAACAAGCTTTTGAGTTCAACCTCTTTATCAGATATTACATTTAATCTGAAATATTTTTGTGCATCAAGAGAAAAACTGTAGAAATCTAAAAGAAGCAGAATATAGTTGATTCATTCTTCTTGAACCTTTCAGCTGTCTACAAACTGAAATGTTTCCAGTGACCTTAAATCTTTCATGCATCTTGCATTTCCTGTTAGGGATTTCATACGAAGGTTTGTTTCCTGTCTCCAGGTGATCCACTTCCCAGACCTGCAGCGTTTGTCTCTCTCTATGCTGCCAGAACTCACAGACGCCAGCTTAGCGTCAGTCGGCCGGCGCTGCCGCAGCCTCACCAGCCTGTCACTCAGCCACTGTCCGGGCATCACTGACCGTGGGGTTGCCCAGGCGGCGCCGTACCTCCAGCGCCTGCAGCATCTCTACCTCTCCTGCTGTAATAACATCACTGACAGGTAGGGAGCTTGCTGCTGCTTTCTCCCTGAGCCTCAGAGGAACATATACTCCAACTTTTAACCTTTGAACCCTCTGCAGGACGTTGTACCTTCTGATGCAGCACTGCAGACGTCTGAAAACCGTTGACATCTCAAGGTGCAAAAATATCTCCATGACAACGGTGGACCTCCTCCAATCACAGCTGCCGTTTTTGGAAAATGTCCAGCACAAGCTCATAGGCGTGGCTGATCTCCCACTGACTGACTGCTTTTAAAGCAGCGTTCAGACTGAAGCTGCAAGCAGCGCTCAAGTTCGTTCTTCAGGAAACTTTGAAGGGTGCTTGTCTTTTAAAGATGGATTCTATTGGTGTAAAACTGCCATGTGGATCAGCAACGAAGGTCCAAGGAAATAAATTTATATTAAGATATTTAGAAAGAAATGTTTACACAGCTGGAGGAAAACCCAGCAGCAGGATCTGCTTTATTAGGAATTAACTTAATTGTTTTTCCTTCAGCTGATTCCAGATCAGCTTACTGACATCAGTCACAGTTTACTGTTTAGAGCTTCACCTTCATCACATCAGGAAACCAGACACTCCCTCCTCTTCATATAAGAGATCCACATTATCCAACACTACCATCACTCAGCTGAGATCCATTCTACACAACATCATCTGATGTTAAAGGTTCTGGAAGCTCTTCTGCTAGGTTCTAGTGGGCTGACTGGGCCGGGCAGCAGCTTTTTCTGGTTTCCTCAGCGGTTAGTAGATAGTCATACTGGAAGAGTTTCTGCTACATTTCTGAAGTTCTTCCTTCAGTTATATGTACTGTGCTGGTACCAACAGGGCCAGGTTGTGGGTTATGCATTCAGTGGTCCAAAGGGTTTGGTTCTGGTGTCATTTGACCGCATGCTGGTTTTTCCTTCAGCAGTCGAGTCTTCAACCTCTGAATAGCCAGAAGTACCAGAACCACAGTTAAAAGTATAGTGGAGGATGTTCTTTTTCTAGGTGGATCATCAAAATAAGTGGTCCTCCTAATTGTCAATCATTCTGGTATGTTTACGTAAGGCCTTTCTACATGCTCGTCCCCATAAGCGGTAGTGAGTCTGACATAGTGGAAAAATTACAAATCTTCTTTTGGAAAGTAAGCTTTTATGAGTGATGCAACAACTTTTAAACAGAGCATGCACGAGGAGAAATTGGCTCGTGCATGTTCTCATACATGTTAAATTAGGTGTTTCCTATCGAGAGCAGGTACATGTTTTTTTTTTTTTTTTTTTAGGTACATGTTTTTTTTTTTTTTTTTCTAAATCGGGCAGGCCTTTCCCAAGATTTGTGAAAATCCTCCTCTATACCTTTAACTGCACAAATGATTGTGGTCCCAACCTGTTCAGAAGGGCTCCTGTAGCCAGTTCCTTCAGGGGTTTTTTAACCACAGAAACCAGTTCTGCTTCTACCCATCAGTCTGACATCAACATACGCTCCCTAACAGACACTTTGGCGAAGAAGACAACAGAACTGATTCCTGAACCTCGACAATTTAGCTGGGTTCTGCAGGTTCTTCTCATCCAGAACCTCTGCGGTCAGACTTTATGTACGGATGTCTCTGCTGTTATTTCTTGGTGCTTTCTGTTCCTGCAGCAGCTCTGGTGGCTCAGAAAGAAAATAAACAGGAGAGTCTTTCCCCCCTTTGAAATCAAAGTTCTGAGCTTGAAAATAAAAAACCTTAGCTTAAAACGGAGCGGCTGTACTTTGTTGTGAAATAAATAAAAAAATCTAACTCATTCAGTTTAATCTCCAGGAAGCAGCTTCAGTTGTCAGACGTCCCTCAGAGATAACCTGCTGAGCTCATCTGTTTGGATTCTGTCTCATTGAACGGGTCCTTCAGGGTTTGTGAAAAGCATTTATGAAAAAAAAAGAAAATGGAAAACAGATTAAGTCATCGAACATCTATAGCAATCATCAGCGAGGCTCTGACCCCAGGCGCACGGCGCGGGTTCATCGGCTATGCAAAGGTCTTGCTGAAAATCAATTAGAAATGTGACGGAACAAAACAAAAACTGTCAAAACTTTCTGCTGGATTAAAAAAATTTCCTTTGCTTTTTCTACATTGCTGTTTGTTGCTGCTGCTTTATTGATTATTCCACCATCAGACAAAAAGATAAAAAACTAAATAAAGTCTGGAAGGGAGAAACAAACAGGCAGGTTTCTGTTCTGTAATTCAACCTGTTTATTTGTGTAAAAAGCTCAGATTAAAGTAAACATCGCCTCAGCTGCAAAAGACTCGTTAAAAGTACCTACTAGTATAAAAAAAGCAACATTTTTAGAGTTAAAACAGGATTTGATCCATGACAATCAGAAAAATCGGTATCATACAGATTTACAGGAATAATAAACTTAATTTTTGGTAAAAAATAATCAGTTTGGATTGATCCAAAAAGCTCCACAGTTGCTGAACCGCATTAAAACAAGTACCTTTGTAAAATACATCCGTCTGACAGGCTGCAGCTGTTGCTCAGATACCATAATTGGAGATGGAACCGCTTTCTGCAAATGCCCAGAAAGAAGCAGCATCAAAATATAACAACTCAAAGCAGAATGAAGTGTTTTTAGCCAAGCGTGCAGCAATTTTCCTGAAGCTACGTAACGGTCTCCCTATAAAAAGGCTAAAGTGAAAGCACCATCACAGATGTTGCTATTATTGAAGCTTGTTGGGTTTTCCTGATGCAGATCATCGCCTGATTTCTACCCTAAAGATGCTGATTCTGCAGGATTCTCAGAATCTGGTTGACATCTATCTGCTTTTTGGCTCAGATGTTCAGCATCAGGCCTCCTCTAAAAACCTCCAACAATAAAGTGTTAAAATCTGCGCATGGGTCAGAACCAGAACCCGAACACAGGTTCATCCCGTCTACTGCTCCGTCTGGCTGAAGTCGTAGCAGAAGTTGTAGTTGCTCGGTGGTTTGGGGATAATGGGGGCGCTCTCTGGGATGGGTACGTTCTCCAGGTCCAGGAGGCGGAGCTTAATCTCCATAGACAGGAGGATCTCCAGCTCGCTGCGCATGGACTCGCTGCTCATGTCCCTGCCCAGGAGGACGCTCAGTCCATCTGTCCACAAGCAGAACTGACAGGTGGGAGAAGTTAGAACCAACAGAGGAAAGGAGGAGAAAAAGGGCAGGAATCCACACCAGTCCTACTCACATCAGTCCTAGAGGGGGCGATAAAGTTCAGGCTGTACTCCTCTACATCATAGGTGATGCTAAATGCCAGATCCAAGACTTCCTGCAGGGCGAGAGGTCTCCTTTAATTCAGGAGGTGAGCAGGGGAACCATGGAGACAAGAAGCTCACTGACCTTGGTCTGTTTGCCTTTGTTCTCCTTCATGTGAGGACAGTCTTTCCCTGTCAGCAAACCTTTTATATCTGCAACTGGGACTGAAAGAAAAATGATGGGAGGTTAATATTCCACAGATTGCAAAGAAAAGAATGCAGTAATGTGGCTACTAATACAGGAAACACTGCATCCCGTCACATGAAAGGAAAATGGATCATAAACTGGGCCGTTCAGCAGAAATAATAAAGCAACACAATTTTAAACTTTCTATATATTAATTATATGAATAATTTTGCCATTAGTCGTACTTTCAATGCTGCAGAGAAATTCCTTACATTTAGCACTCAAATTATTTAGTTTTACTTTAAATGTTAATGCATAAAAATGTATGTGGTTATATTTTAAACGGCAGTGTGCATAGTTTATCATCTGCTCAATTTTTGTATTAATGTTTGAAATTAACACCAAGACGTTGATAAGCTTCAGCAGGTTTTCATACTTTTAGATCTTCTACCATTTTGCAATTTCCTGTTTGTTAGGTGTGAAAAAACCTGTAGCAAGCAGGAAAGGAAATCTTCACATTTCTGCTGCTTTGACTCACTCTTCTCCTGCAGTGTTTCTATGGCTGGGTTTTCTGCATCTTCTTCCACGTCGCCGTAGTGAAGCATCTTGTGATTTGGTGACAAGCGGCAGTACCACAGTTTGTCTGGGTGCAGCAGAAATAAACAGACATGAATAAACGTGAGCAGGACAGCTGTCAGAGACCAGTTTGAGGAGCCGGTGTTTGCACGCTCCCACCCTGCCTGCGGCGGCTGCTGATCTTCCTGAACATGGTTCCCTGACACAGCCGGTTGAGCCTCTGCTGGCGGATCAACTCCAGCAGCTCTGGCTTCAGGCGCTCCTTCAGCTCACTGGAAAACAGAACCAACATTTAGGGTTTCAGAGACATTTCTCCCACACAGAGGCAGTAGGTTCAGGATAAAATGAAGAGAATAAAGCTGCACTGAAGCCCTAAGGCGGCTGCTACGTCGTATGTTTAGCGACAAACAGCTGACAGCTCTCCAATCTGCTGCTTTTATACGGGTGGAAACTATGCAGAACCTTTAAACTGGCATTATGGACCAGATTATCGCTAAACCTGAGTAGCGGGTCCACATGAAAAGATGGATGCCTGACTCAGAGGAAACTGTGGATAAACCTGCGGATACTGACAGGACAGGTGGAGCGAGCGTCTCCTCCTGGTGCAGCCGCTCCGTCTGCCTCAGCTTCAGGATCTCGCTGTAGTTCAAGGCGTTAACTTTGTTTTTGAAGAGCTCCAGGGAGGTCGGCTTGCTGGACAGCGTCCTGGTGATCTGCTCCTTCACCACCTGCATCACCTGCGGACGGACAAGAAGAGATTAGGGTGATGGTAACAAGACCTTCCTGCCTTAGAGAGGTGGAGCTCATCACCAAAGATAAATCCTCAGTATAGGAGGAAAAAGGTTCTGCATGATGGGAAGAAGGTGTGATGAAGTTGATTCCAATAAAGCTTTTTACCACAATGCTATAAGAGAAGATAAATCATGTTCGACAAACTTAAAAGTTTGACTTTTTTGGTTGAATAGAAATGATGTAAAATCTAAACCTTTTTGACGCCATGAGGGAACCATCTATTCACACCGCAACTCGTCTTTTATCCAGTCCATGACCTCCTTGCTCAGTAACATACCTCTAATCACAGGATGTTGTTGTAGTAAAAGAAGAGCACACTCACATTTGCAAATAAATGGAACAAAGAAATTCTTTAAAACAGAAATGATATCAGCCAACAGGGAGCTAAGCTTTACTCGGAAAGAAACCATATTCAATAACTGGTGAAGAAAATCATAAAGTCAGTAAGTGACAGGACACTTTTAATAGAAAATAATTAACTCATTCAAAACTCTGTAAATATCAGGTTCGCTTCCCAAACATCTGAAACCGTTCAGATCAAAGTTTTAAAGAGAACCTGCAGATTTAAAGCAGAGCTATGGTTTAGTGCAGGGTAAGGTAGAGAGACCCCATGAAGGAAGGGGTGAAAGGTGCCTTTAACTTCCCTTTATTTTCACTTTAACAGATTAAAAAATAAAATAAAGTCTGATCAGAATTGACTTTATTTAGCTGCTAAATATTTGTTCACATACAGTTATTCCCAGAAGGCCTGATCTCTGGCTGAACTCTGAGCTGTTCAATAATAGCAATTAACACAACAAGGCTGATAATTCTCCATCAATCTGAGGCTCGTCCATCATCACAGTGTGTGTAGCAGCCGGTTAAACTGCATTTCAGATCTATAACCATCAGTGAAACGGGGGAAAAAAAATCAATAAGGCTCCATCTCTACAGTCTGCTGACCTCAATCATTCAACTGATCGTCCTACAGAGCGGATCCCAGCCCAGATTCCTCATCAGTAGCTCCTGATGATGGTAGACCCAGACTGGGACCATCAGCCTGTGTTAAACATGCATGGAGATGGAAAAAAAACACTAAGGCGAACATTAGGGCTGCAACTAACGATTATTTTGCAAATCGCTAAATCTAACTCTTATTTTATGATTAATTGATCCATTATGGGATAGCCAAAGGTACCTTAAAGGAGATCTTTACTAAACTAAACCAGGTGAAACTAAAACTTTTCCACTTGAGGGGATCTGGATAAAGCATATTGTCAAACGAAAATGTATTTTTTATCCTGAATGCAAAATGTTATTTGCATATTTGTATATTATTTTACAATTTTGATATAATTACTGCTCTAAGCCAGCTAAAGATACATTTTACAGTCTCTATACTCCATCTAATGATTAATCTATTACTAAATTAGTTGACGATTATTTCAACAATCACGATTAATAGTTTCAGCCCTACCACACATCCTCCAACATTAAAATGAACTCTGATTTTATTCGTCTATATTCTGACACCAAAACTGTTAGAAACAAACCAGCTGAATTTCATCTAAGGAGCGAAAATCCGTCCCAGCCTTACCTCCATGTTCTCTTCTTTTAAATAAGGTCCAGTTCAGAGAGAGATCGCCTCCATGGCAGCAGAAGAACGGGCCTTTGGCTGTTTGGTAAACAGACACCCTGATCATCATCATCTCCCCCCCTTCCAAACTCCACGTGATCATGTGGTGTCACTGAGCTCAGCCGTCCAATAGGACGGATATCTGACAGCTGCTTCTGTTCCCTGACGCCCTCCAGCACACGTATGACCATCGGCACACAGATGTGTTCACACCCTTACAAGTTTGTTTATGAAGAAGCATCCGTCACGCCTCCACCTGCCCTCCTCTCCTCCTTCTACTGGTTCGACATATTTTATCAGAAATCTCCGTCCTTTTAGGTCAGTTTGGAGGTTTAAAGGTGAAATCTGGAGAACACCCATCGAGGTCCGATGGCCTCTTCAGACAATCAGTTCTGATCCAGACCTGGATACGTAGCTCCAGTCTTTTCCAGACCGTGCCAGCCTTGTTTTTCCCCCTCTAACATACTGATTTATGTTCCCAGTGTTGTGGTGTCATTCCTGCTAATTCCAGGGATGCTTTGTGTTCCTTGTTTCTCGCTCCGTTTTCAGCCACTCACTACGTTTCTCTTTGTCCAACCTAAAGCCCCTTTGTCCTCGCCCCAGAGCCCCCTGGGTAGCCGACCCGGACAAAAAACAAAAGGTCCACTCTGGCAGCCTGGCGCTCCAGGAAAGGTCAGGAGGTGGCTTTGTTGAGGGGAGCGCCCTGCAGACGACGGACAGCAGAGGATGACTTGGCAGCACTGAGACTACAGTCTAACATACGCCTCTGCTTCACTCACAGGCTGGAAATCAGCACAAAGTCTCTGATTAAACTCATCCACAGTAGAGACTTTGTTGGACATTCAGAAATAAAACAGATGAACCTTTTCCAGATGAATGGAGTCCAGAACGGCTCATCTGGTTCCTTCAGTGTTCTTAGCCTGCCAGATATTGTTCTGCTTGGACTCATAACGGTGCTGGAAGATTAAATCCCTCCTCAGCTTCCTAACATCACAGTTTTTGGATCAAAACTGACTGGTAACAGGAATTCTTTAAAATGTCATTGATTTAGTCTAAAACCCCCATAGAACCAAACACATATTTGGATTTATGGCTCAAAAATCATCACATCTCATTAGACTAACAACTTCCTGAACTCTTCTCTTGATGCAGGTTTTTAAGGCTAATGCCGATTATTTTGATATCAAACATATCTAAGATATGTGTTGCCCATATTTGTGGGCTGAATCTTAAGATTTTTATACTACTTATTCCTATTCTTACATGATGAAAATGAGACAATTATAAAAATATTTTACACAAGTCTTAATTCAGACAAAAAAAAAAAAACATTTAGAAACAAATCAACTAAATATTAACAGGGGAGAGCAACGGAAGGAGCAACAATACATGCGCTTCATCTGATCTCAATGTATGGCTGCAACCAAACTTTTCTTGCTAGGTGCCAATTTTGTTTGAAAGAAACTTGTTGCGCCCCCCTCTTGATCTCTAACCTGCTAGAATGTTTTCAACATTTAACAATAAACTAAATATTGAGAAAAAAAAAGAACTACAATCTAAACACACATCACTAAAACTTCCACCTTTAAAGTACATTTATTTTAAGTTTAGCCATTTATTTTACCGCAGAATCAAGCAATAGATTTTTTTAAAACTCAAACTGGGACTGTTATTCTAATTCATCTCTGCTACAATCCCCTGCAGTTACTCTTTACCACCCCTAGGAGGAGTCTCCCCCAGTTTGGGAACCACTGCACTAATTATCCGACCATTACATGCATAAATTCACTGGCCGGCGTCTCGGTCTTCCTCTGCTCCTGACAGACACCTTTATGCACGTCCATAAACGTCAGCCTCAGCTAAAATATCAGGAAGGTCCAATCAGGACAGGTTCTCTAAAGAAGCCTGAAACTCTTTAAACAGAAAGTCTTTAATCAGTTACTCACACATACATATATTGAGCTTGGAGTCAGAAAATTAAGAGTTTCAGCTTTAAATTGCTAAATGATCTCAGCATTACTAATGAAAAACGTCTAAACCAAGATGGCAGACTGAGCAACAAACCTGAAATCCAGTTTAGGCACAAGGCAAGTGGCACTTTACAATATATCACTACTGATCACTTAATAAACAAACAAAAAAGAGGAGTGAATGAAATTATACAATCTATTTTTCTATCTGAAGAGTTTTAACCAAACATCCAATCCAGCTTCGGATCTCACCTTGTCAAAGTCCTCCTGCGTTGCTCTCATCTCCTTCCAGGTTTTGTTGAGCAGTTGGATGCAGACGCAGAAAAGCTCATCCAGGAGTCGGTCCTGACTGAAGAAGATGGGGTGGTAGTTGGATCCTGTCTCTGAGGCTGCAAACAGAAACAAACATGCTCTGAATGATAGAAGAGTAAAAAGAAACCAAGGAGGAATGGCTGGAGCTGCTGGAGGCTTACGAGGTTCTCCTATTCGAAGGATTTCACAGAGGATCAGTGTGAGCTGGATGCTGCTCCTGGCGAAAGGACACTCGTGTTTGTCCTCTCTGCTGCTATTCTCCAGCACGAACTGCAACGCATCAAAAACATCATGAAGTCCTGAATCAAACTGCAGCTTTCCTCTGCACAAGCAGCTATAATAATACAATAAAAATACAATAGAAGCTGGAATGCTTCTATATTAATGATCAAATCTTTATGTTTAAAAAGGATGAAACACAAAGCTCTGCTCACTAGAGCCGGAGTGATCGAGGACTCTAGCGACTGTTCCAGTAACCATTTGCATACATTTCATTGAACCACTTAAGCTAAGTTTAAGAGTATCAGAAATGCATGAAGAAAATGCAAGTAAATAAATCCTTCAACACCTTTTAAAAATGAAAATCCACATTTTTAAAGCATAACCAAACACGTCATGATTAATCCAATCCACTGTTTCAGCCCTACCCTGCTGTAGGCGTCAGGGTTACGGTTAGCGAAGTAAAACATGGTGTCCAAAGCTAGAAGACCAGGAGGTGTCCGCACCAGGTCCTGACCCGGGTTACTGTTGTTCTGTGACGGACAAGCACAGGTTAGAGAGGCGAGACCAGAACTCAAATTAAAGCTCCTGAATTCAAACAGATGCTTACAGAAAAACCCAGTTTCTTAAACTCTTTGGCACAAAGTGAGCGCCGGCGTTCATGACTGAGGCTGTTCTCGCTTTCTGTCTCAAACGCCGCCTGCCGCAACCCGTGAAGGATTTCTCTATGTTCCTGGACAACAGCAGACAAACACGCTTTTTAACACACAGCAGATGAGGTCAGTTTCTAAAACATTGTTATGTTTCATTAATGAACTGGATGGATGGATGGATGGATGGATGGATGGATGGATGGATGGATGGATGGATGGATGGATGGATGGATGGATGGATGGATGGATGGAGGAACAGAACATAAAGGCTTGAAGTTCTGCCTGCTTTCAGACAATTCTCCCTTTAGGAACAAAAACAGCTTCACCCAGATTCAGCAAAGAAACTTTGTGACGTCCCACCTGGCTGTAACAATCCAGCGGCGTTCTCATCCGAGCCTCCAAATGATTCAAGGTGACCGATTGCAGGACGTAGAGGTAGTGAGCCATCTCGTCCTGGACCGGACTAGAGCTCAGGATAATATTCTGCACAGCATCAAACACAGCAGTTTATTGGACCTGAACGCATCCTCCGCTATCTAATGCCTCAGAGAGTTGAAGATAGAAGAACTATTCACCTTATAAATGTATGAACGGAGGTTCTTCTTATTCAGAAATGCAAACATTTCCTGGAAGAGAGAGATGGAAAAAAACTGATGTGACTGCAGGGACAGATTCTGACAGGAGGTGGCGACAGAGCCTCTGAGACTGAACAAGGGTTCTGTATGGTGAGAAACTTTGACCTCTACGTGGTACAAGCATCTCTGGATCAGCAGCTTTTGTTCACCACTGATCTACTGATTATAAGGGTGGATTTGTAGAACTTGTGCAGAATAAAAAAAACAATCGGAGTGTGGATGTGAGAAACAAAGAGATCCAGACAAAAGGGAGACGAAGGAATGGATGAATGAAGGAACTGTTGGTGCACAATGAGAGACTAGCAGGAGGAGAACAGAGGGGCAGAGGGCCTCCTCTGTTTGAGAGAAAGCAGAGACGGCCGGACAGAAAAAAAGAGGGATGGATCACATCCAAACTGTCTGAGGAATGCTCTGCCTGCAGGAGTCATAAACATGTCAGCAATAGACACACGTTCTGCTTATATTTACTACCAGACCTCATAGAGATGCTTCAATCCATCAGCTAAATATTCCCCATCTCTCCCAGGATTTGCTCTGATCTCTTTTATTAAATAGATTTTAAAAAATCCATCAGATAGTGATGACAATGTATCATAAATTTGAAATCATCAAATATATAAAAATCAGACTCATCAGATAGTGATCTAATTAAACACATAATGGGAGTTCTTTTTAGTGATTCTGCAGGCTTTGTTTTTGCATCTCATCTCTATTCTATTCTGGGAGATCACAATCAAACATCCAACCAATAAAAAAGGATTTTAAAAGCAAGGGTTCTGTTCTGCTTGGCAACTGTTGTCCAGCACACAGCCTGCATCTGCAAGGAGGGGAAGCAACTAAAGATCATCGCTAAAGAAGCTAACAGTTCGCAGACCACTGCAACCAAGCATATTGATATAAAGGTGAGTGGAGGGAAAAAATGTGGTCAAAAAAGTAACACACTGGAATCTGTTATTTATGCATCTGTGTAATTATTGTATTTTCTATTTTGTATGGATGTATTTTTATCACTTGTTCCAGAAATCTTTTGCTTGAACAGTGAAAAATGGAGAAAAAAAACATGCTAGAAGGCAGAACCACTTAAATCACGATGTATGAAATTAACCTGTAGGAATCTTAGGCGTAACTGTTAACATTATATTGTGTCATGTAACTAAAATATTTGAATTACACATAAAAGGGGCTAAAATGTGAAGCTTATGTTTGATTAGAGCATCCATTTTTGTTTATTACTAAAGGAGAATCTCTGATTTTTGGATGATGAAGAGGGTTCCTGTGCAGCGGCAGGAAGCAGCAGTAACTCAGAGCCCTGTCAACAGAAACCCCCCCATTCATCTGCAGGCTTAAAGATAAAACAATATCAAAGATGAGGAGCAGAATCAGCACCTTTCTGTCTGAGTCTTCAGCTGTTTGCAGTAAGGCCATAAGGAGAGCCATGGCTTTGGTCTGGATCTGCTGGTTAGCCCTGAAATAAAACAGAGGGTTAGAGGAACCTGCAGCTTTCAGATGATTCTCTTTAAGATCACAGAGGATACACAGTTTCTACATTAAAAGCTTCCTGTTCAGCTCCTCTGCGCCTCTTATCAGCTGTCAATCTCGTAAGAAACAGACGCTACTCTGCTTTTATCGGATCATAAACACCTTCAGAAGTACATTTACTCTCTGAGTCACAGTAACTTCTACAGAAGTCAGAGGTTAATTTTTATCCGGTGAGAAGATATAAATTAAACATCCCCCAATAATTGTACGACATGGTGAGAGGATGAGAGAGGAACCAGTCTGGACAGACTTACACCTGCAGGTGAGCTATAAGCCTCTCCATGGTGACCTCCTGTTTGACCTGAAGGAAAAGTTTGCGGCTGCTCAGAACCATGTTCTCCAGGATGTCCAGGGACACCTGCTGCATCGCCTCATCTGTCGACTTGTTGACAAAGCTGGCAATCTGACCGGGAAAAATTCCAAGAAAGGAAGAGAAAAGCAGAGAAAACTTAGGAAAAAAAACATCATCTTCTAAAAAAAAAAATACACCTGATAAAACCGAGATAGTGGAACCTTCTTGATGAAGACAGCCGAGAGGTTCTCCCATGAAACTATTCCATGATCCATCAGCTCCATGAAGCCGGTCAGAGTGTAGGTCATGATCTGGTTATTTCTGGACAGAAGGAGTCACAGGTTGGACCTTTTCAGAACAGCTCTAAGAATCCTCCGCCTCATCTCTTCCCTCTCCCTCAAACCCATTTCCTGTCAACAGTTTATCAAATAAAAGCCAGTTGTGCCAAAAAAGGCTTCTTAACCCTTTTCACATAAGAGATAAGATAGACTTTATTGATCTCACAGTGGAGAAATTCGCTTGACACTTGTCTTCAAACATGGCAGTAATGAGGTCCAGGTGGAGACAGTGAAACTCAAGCGTTTAAACCAAAGGTCATTTATGAACGGACATGATTAGTTTGGGTAGATTTATTATTATTTGAAAACACATCAACATATCTGATGTTTTATCTAAAAACTTTAAATTATTTGTTCTCTCTGCTCCCCTAAACACCAAAATCTGGTGTAATATGGTTATCCATTCTACTTTTTTACGTTCCCTCCAGCTCCTTTCTAGTGGGAAACGAGGGAGAAGAGTATAGCTGACCGCAGTACGTCCTCAGACAGAAGATACTTACTCCTTAGAGTCCTCAACTATTTTGACCAGTAGGACATGTCCATCTCTGCTGATGAACTCCTGAGCGAAGGTCACGTCTCGCGAAACACTGGCCAGCTCTTTCAGCGAATCACAGCGCACCCCTCCATCTGAGCTCTGGATGCCCTTGAACAAGTCTTCTGCCCTGCGACCCTGAGTTCAGACGGCAAACACAGGAAGACGGATCAGAACCAGCTTAAGTTGGACGTTTACTGTATCTCAGATTTACTTAACACATCAGAGATCTGCCAATCATCACTACTGAAGACATCAAGCCTCACTAGATGTTCTGAAACTCCACAGCTTCCCCCTAGGCCACAGTCACTCTATGGGTCCAATTTTCTACAGCTCTCTCAAACTGGACAAATGGACCTTTTGTAAAATCCTTAAACTGAGCTTTATTTATGGCTGTAACTGAATCAGAGGGAAACAGAACTTCAGAACCAGCCTGAATCGGAACCAAGGCCTGTTTCCTTCTGGAATGCTTGTTCCAGATGGTGTCAGCATCACTCAGTAACTTTTGTTTCTCCTTTCTTATGTCCAGTTTAGTTCTGCAGTGATGCAAAGTTGAAACAATACAAAACATAAAAAAAGAACTTTCCAATCTGAGTGATGGTTTTTGGTCAAAACAATAATATTTCCATGTGGAAATCAGTCCAGAAACACATGAGAGCTTTTTTACTAATAATAATCCTCACATTAATTTGATATTAAATAAATATTTATCCTGAGATTCATCTAGAATCCACTTGGGAGGAAAACTTTCATCATTCAGACAGATTTTAGTTTGAATATCTGTCGGATCAGGATGCTGGTTAGTCACATCTAATAACAATAAATAAAGAAATCTCTGCTAGTTAAAAATGCTCCTGGAAGAAAAGCCCAAATATAAACACATCTGGCTTTAGTCAGTTAGTGTGAATAATCAGAGTCCAACTCCAGCAGAAAAGGCATTAAACTGTAACACAATGCACCACAAAGTCCAACCAAACATTCTGCTGAATGCAGGGGTTAAAGGACATGGAAGAGATAAAAACAGCAGGAATGTGAGAAATGAGGTGGTGAGGCAGGACGGCTGCAGACTCACCGGTGCCTTGGTCAGACGCAGAATCCAGCCGTTCTTTATGTCCAGACGGTTCTGAAAACACAGAGAAGGTTTAAACACAACCTCGGCGCTGAGGGCAGGACAACAGGGAGATCATCTGAACCACCTGATGATCATTACAGAAGATCGGTTACCGACAATCATCAGAGCGGCCCCGTTAGTTTGGACCAACATCACCAGCACCAAGATCGATCTATTTATTACTCGCAGGAGAGTTAAACACATCCGACGACTCAAATGTGACATAATGAAGAAGCTGCTCCTAAACTGAACCATCTGTATTTAGCTGCAGATGGGTCACAGATGATATCCTGCTGAGATGCATCAAAGTTAATTAAAACAAGCTGATCTGTATTTCAGAGAGGAGGAGGCCTGATGCTTTAAAGGATTTTTTCATGCTTAGACATGTGTTAGTGGTAGAGAATCAGAAGTGTGAGAATGGCTAGGTTGGCTCATTTGGGCTCTTTGTTCGGACCAGAAAACCCTCCCCTTGGATTAACATCAATCATGGAAGGGTGCTAACTTTAGCCCACCTTGCTATCATTAGACTCTCCACCAAAAGGGACGATTCCAACAATCAGGGACTCGACTGCAGGCATTCACTGTGTCTCTGCTTGTGCAGCTATTTTATTCTATGGTGTAGGAGACCAGAAAACAACGGTAAACGAACCATGGCTAACTGCTACTGCAGCTAAAGCTGCATCCACAAAAAGTTCTTGCTTGAACACCCTACGAGAAACAAAGGGGGTCTAATTTTTTCATCTAAGAATGTCTAAACGTGACTTTAAAGACAATTTCAGAAGTATTTTAGAAGTAAAACCCCAGGTTATGAATCCTTAAAAGGTCACCAAGAAGCTTAGGAAAGTTCCAGCTGTTTCCTCCCACATTCCTTTCTGACACCATCATTTAAAATAAGAGACGTGCTTTCATCTTCTTTAACACCCAAGGAGTTGACAGAGCAGCAGCTGACTGATGGATGTGTGATAGTTCCATGTTAACAATAGAACCATGAGAGGAACTGGGTTGTGCAGAATGACATCAGACTGATTTAGCAGCGTGTAATAATCTTAGTGTGAAGAGGTATGACTGACCGACTCAGTGATGTACATCTGCGCTCCTTCGGAGTACTGCAGGGCGTAGTTGTCGGGTCCTGGAAGATTCCAGCTGAAAACAAACAGAAACAGAATATAATCCATTAGATGGACATCATCTTTTCACGCTTCACACTTTGTGAATGGTTTAATCTTTGTTTTTTGAAGGAACATTGAGCTTTCTTTAAACGTTAAACTGTGATTGGGTTCCTTTCAGGATCCCTTTTTAGCCATGAGCTGAAATACAAACAATAACTCTGATGGAAGACTTTACTACAGCAAACAGACCCAAGACTGTAAGATTTTATATGCAAAAGGAGGGACACATCTTTGAGACAAAGGGACATAGACTAAAGGCCTAAAATATTTTTCAATCTTTCTTTTCACACCTCTAAAGATGTGGAAAAAAACTTTACTTTCTAGACTCAACCACAGAGGGATGATCCAAAAAGGCAAATTAAATATGGATCAAGATGTTTTAAACATTTTGCAAAGAGCTGCAACTAAATAATTTAAAACGGTCCAATAAGTTAAATAGCATCATTGTTTTATCAATGCTGACTGTCATTTCATGAAGTCACAGTTGATGCATGCCCAACTTACCCATCACACACTTCCTTAATGACAGCAGACAGAGGCTTCTTCTGCAAAACAAACAAAAACAAAACTACAGTCAGATCCTGGTCCGTCAGCATCAACATGAAGCCCCACAGCGAGTCCATCTGGTTGCAGACCAGAGGAAGGAGGAAGTCCTCCCAATGTCAGAAAGGGCCTCGGTGCCAACATCCCATCCTGGTTGTAAACAAACCCAGACAGACTTTCAGCTACCCTGCTATTAGTGGTCCGTCCGCGGTTACGCAGTCAAAATGTGTTCTGGTTCTGCGGTAGACCCATTGGATGGTGTGTCATTAGTGGCAGCCAATCAGATGTGTGTGGTAGAGAGGCTTAGGCCAATGGGGGAGTTCGTCTGATGTGAGGGGTGGGCCGTGATCCGTGATCAATGAGTCGGTCTTGGATAGTAAAACATGGGGACTGTTTGAGATGAATGAAATCTCAAGAATTGAAGAAGTTTGTTGACCTAGGGGCATGAGTGAGGTGACTTGAGACCTCCTTCCATTGGGGGAGTTCGTCTGATGTGAGGGGTGGGCCGTGATCCGTGATCAATGAGTCGGTCTTGGATAGTAAAACATGGGGACTGTTTGAGATGAAAGAAATCCCAAGAATTGAAGAAGTCTGTTGACCTAGGGGCATGAGTGAGGTGACTTGAGACCTTCTTCCATTCTCTCCACCTTTACAACCTTCAACTGAAGATCAGCGTCAGTGTGACACCAACCCACCTCAGCTTCAGCTCCAACTGGCGTGTTAATACTTTTATTATTTTATTAATACTATTATTAATACCATCATTAGTAAAACCAAATCACCTCTTATGTCATGATACTGAGCTTCACAGAAAGCTGTATTAAATGAAGCACTGTTATGGTCTACAAACAGTCCTCAACAGCCCTCCTATAGAAAGGACTCCCCGGTTGTGCAGAGGGTAGCACTGTTGTTTCCAGCAAGAAGGTTCCAGGTTCAATTCCCAGCTACATATTCTCTCTGTGCATGCTTGGGTTCTATCCGGATACTCATGACTGTTATTTGGCTGCTCTAAATTGTCCTTAGGTATGAGTGTGTGTGTGTGTGTGTGGTCTTGTTTTACCAACAATGTGAGGGAAGTATTTTGAAAAATATCCTACATGCGAGGACTTACAGGTACATATGGGGACATTCAACTGCTCCCTATATGGTAAAGTTCTGTTCTTTGAGTTGGGGTTAGGTTTAGGACTAAGGTGTGAATTCAGTTTAGGTTAGGATTAGGTACATCTTGGTAATAGTTAGGGTAAGGGTAAGGGTCTGGGTTAGGCCATGTAAAATTAATCCAAGTCAATGAAATGTCCCCATATGTCATGAGAACAAAGCGGTGTGTGTGTGTGTGTGTGTGTGTGTGCATTGTGAATTTTTCGTGTTTCTGTTTTGCCCTGTGACAGATTGGCGACCTGTCCAATGTTTACTCAGCCCCTTTTCCATAGACACTAACGGAATAAATAGAAGAAAATGGATGGATCTAGGACAGGAGATACCTAGAATAGTTAATAAATCTGATCATCAAGAACCAACAAATCTAAACGCATATTTCATAATTCAGGCCCATACACTAGATGGTGAGTGGTTTAGGAGGTTTGTCGCTAAATCGAAAGTATGAATAAGTTTGAGCCTAAGCTCAATGAGTAATAACCTGGTCAGAACGTACCAGAGACCTTCACTAATCAGCATGATGTTAATCTCACAACGATCAGATTTTATCCTCCTAGTCTTCAAAAAGAAGAAATACGTATTTTCATCTGAACAACAAAACAGGAAACCGGTTCTGACCTGGTCCAAAAAATACATTCCATGTTCTGCTAAAATCCATTGTGATACCGTTGATACATACCAGTGTCATTAGGAAGTTTGGAAGAGAAAAAGGCCCATAGCATCACAGGTCCTACACTGTACATTATGTTTCTTTCCCATTATTACTGAATCTGTTCAGGTCGGGACAAACTGGGTCAGTTCAGTACCAATTTGTTCATTTTCATTAAAACTGTAGCATCTCAGGGCAGGCGGGCTCCATCTACAGTCCAAAGTGATACATTTAGCAGAGACACCACCACAACAACAGCCTAGACTGACTGCAGTCAGTCAGAGCAAAAAGTGGAGATCCAGTGAAGGCTGTGAGCAGCTAGATGAAGCACTATTGCAACGCCCAGGAGGATCAAACAGAAGAATAAAGTTAGAGGGAATGTGAAGGGAACTCAGTACAGCCATCTAGCATTAGTTAGCATTAACAAATGGAACCGTTGCTATCTTAACTGGCTGCTTGACTGTGGCTCCTATAATTTCCAAATCAAACTGAAAAAGTAACGCAGCAGTGATGTCATATGACTGGCGGTCACTGATTGGTTAGTAGCTGTGTCACCACTTAGAATATTTTTTAAATGGTGTCTAGCATGTTTTCTTTTTATCCTGTACATATCCAGGGTGCTTCATCACTCTCCTTTTGACCCGACGAGAACCTCTGAGTCTGATCAGAAAAAAGCTAAAAGGATCCGTTAAAATTCAGCAGGGTAACTTTTGTGATGGTAGGAAAAAAAACCTGTAGCTATGGTGACTTGGCAAACCTCAGATGCATCTATTTTAAGGCCATTTACTTATGTGCAATGGATGTAAACTTCAAATTCAGTTAAGATAAAAATAAATGATCAGAAAATAAAGAACAGAACAGAACTGAAAGTAGAGATGCAGTCATCTATTTGTTTCTGACTGAAAAACATTTAAGGGACTAGATCACCGTAACTGCATTGCTGCATATGATTGGACCATAATACTGCATCAGATCCATTCATCCGATATCAGATCCAGCTAATTAGTAGGTATCAGAGCTCATATCTGATTTAATTATCTCTACAGCTAAATCCTGCAGTTGCAGCGAGTATCCAGCATGCAACATGGGAAGCACCTCCTTGCAGGTTGGATTTGATTTCTATAAAACACCAACTATAAGCAGATTTCAGAGCTGAACGCGCAGCAGCCAGGTTTTAGGTGAGAGGGAGCCACTTTAAATACAGAGGCACAAATATTATGCCATAGAAATCCAAACGTCACCATAAACGTTCTGAATATGAGAAGAACGGAACACAGAAAAGGAAACTGAAACCAAGCATGCCCACTCCGTCTGTGGCGGACGTGTTTGAAAAGGCAAGGAAGTTTCCCAGAGATTCTGCTACGGTCAGGGGCTTAACAAAAACATATTAGCGGTAAATACATATTTTGGTACTTTTGTCATTCAATAATTTATAATTTATTGAAATGCCTTGAGTTAAAAAAAAATAATGAGTTTTTTTATAGGTTTAGTACACATCAAAGCTAAAAATGCTATTATTTTAACATCTGACATAATAACTTATTTCAGTGTTTCAGCCTTGGTTTACTAACTTTGCCTTTTCAGCCAGTATTTTTTTCATTTCAGTTCATCCCTAATGTTAAATATAAAGACCTGTAAACAAATATTTATTTGTCTATAGCTCCTTTCACATTTAACGCATCATTTAAAATAATAGATTTTTGTAATACATGTAATATCAAACCCAGCCTGGCTCCTCTGCTGTGTTCCTTTAAATGTGATTGAGCCGAATATGGAGACTCTGAGGTTAGAGACGAGTTCTGCTCATGTCATCATGTCCGTCTTCATCAGTCGACACGTGGTGACATTTTGGGGTTATATTTATCGTCTCATTCAGCGGCTGCTAAACCCAACCAGGCTGTAACAAGGCGGGGAGCAACACCTCCACAGCTTTATCGCCTGCGACTTCTCATCTCTGCAACCAAACCTGACCTGCTTTATACTGACCATGAGCCATAAATAACATTGTACAACGGCAATGTGGCTTCCATGAAAACCATGTTTCATACCTGCTTAGAGGTTGTCATTTCTAAAAGCTTATTTTTAATAAAAAAATAAAAAGTCTATTTAGCTCACAGCAGGATACTATAAAACCATGCTGTAGCTACATTACTGCTGAATGTTTAAGATAAATCCACATTTTTCACATTCCTCCAGGGTTTCTGTTTTTAATCCGAACCGACACCCTGGTTCTGAGACCTTGGACGGTGTCTGTGCCTTTCACAGCCGTCTGATTCCAGCAGACCGTTTCTCTTATTGAAAAGCAGAATATGAGTCCATACCAGCTGCATCATATCAGTTGGTTTCTCTCCAAACAGTCTACGCTTTATTAAAATTGTTCCACCTGATGATATATTAGTGACACGTTGGGCAAATTTCCATTTGGCTCTTGCATGAAGCAGGTCCATGCAAAAAGCTAGGGTCTACAGAGATAAATATTGACACAAAGTTTGGATCTGTTTGTCCTGCAGGAAACATCTAGAGAGCAACATTATAAGAACTTTTTAAAACTGAGGCGACCAGCCCTACAGCGTAGCCAAAAGATTCACAGATTCCTCAGACATTTTGTAAGTTCTAACTGAAAAATATTTTTAAAATAGCCTTATTATTTAACCCTTAATGACTAAAACATTAATTGATGAGCAGACTGACAGCTAACTAATATAGTGCCGATAAATCTATGAGCCTTTAGGCTATTTTCCTGAATTTACTTTGTGTAGTTCGGCAGATGTGACATCAAGCGTGTCCATGTTAAATGAGACTAATCTAGCAAACAATTTAAGAGTTATATTCAAGATTAATTTTGTTAATACTCAGGCTAAACTCAGGCACCATTGGAAATTTTATGAAAGATGAGAAAGGTTTAAAAAAAATACTTTTTATATATGATTGTGAGCAAGAGAAAAACAGTAGTGTTCTGCAGTTCTGTGTTTTAGCCACAGGTGGCAGTATCATTAGAAAACTCTAACACCTCTTTAAGAGAAAAACAGCATGTTCAAAGTTGATGTTTTAAAAAGGTGCATAGTCACATTATATGCCAATACAAAAAAATAATAATGAGTTTTATCCCTTTTGAGCCTAAATGGGATTTCAGCATCTGGCGTGATGTGCAGATAAAAACATGGCACCATCTACTGGCAATACCACAGAACTATCAGAAATCCAGATGGTGTTAATTGATGCATTCCCAAATAGAGTCAGACTGTATTGCAATGCCTCGGTAAAGCAACAATAAGATTTTAATAAAAGGTATAGTGGAGGAGTTTCACAAAATTTTTAAAAGACCCGCCCTCTCTATTAAAAAAAAAAAAAAATGCACATACACAAGCCTTTACCCAGTCCCGAAAGGGAACGTCTAGTAGACGCGTGCAAGAGCATGTATATGTTTAAAAGTTGCTGTTTGCATCGCTCATACAAACGTACTTTCCAAAAGAAGATTTGCAAGTTTTCCACTATATCAGACTCACCACCGGTGAGGGACGAGCACGTGGGACGGCCTTACGTGAAAATATCACCATATTCATCCATCCATCCATTTTCTGACATGCTTAATCCCAAGTGCGGTCGCAAGGGGTGCTGGTGCCTATCTCCAGCTGTCTACGGGGGAGAGGCGGGGTACACACTCTCGACAGGTCACCAGTCCATTGCAGGGCAACACAGAGACAAACCAGACAAACAACCATTCACTCACACACACACACCTAATGAGAATTTAGAGAAGCTAATTAACTTAATAGTCATGTTTTTGGACTGTGGGAGGAAGCCGGAGTACCCGGAGAGAACCCATGCATGCTCAGGGAGAACATGCAAACTCCATGCAGAAAGACTTGCAGAATCGAACCAAGAATCTTCTTGCTGTAAGGAAGCAGTGCTACCCACTGCGACACGGAGCGACCCATATCACCATAATGATTGATAATTAGGAGGGTCACTTACTTTGATGATCCACCCAAAAAAAGAACATCCTGCACTATGCCTTTGAATAAACTGATCTATACCAAGTCCAAGTTCTAGAGAACCCTACCCCTACCAAACTAAGCAGAGACACAGCATCATAAACACATATATCTTCATTAAGAAACTGAGCAAAAATAAAGTATAAACACCAAAACAAGGAATATTAAGCCAGCAGGACGTGACAATCTTTCAAAAAAACTTTGTACACCGCAGAAGTCAACTACTGCATAAAGAAAATGACATTTAAATGTAACGATGCGCCTTTAAGCTTCTCCAGAACCACCTAGCTAACTTGTCTACTGGGTTCCTTGGTCTCTATAATGTGGGTTGTTCTCTCTTGTTCTTTATAGAGCTTCTAAGCCCAGAACAAAAACAGCTCCAGTTGGTTCTGGTTCAGACATTCATAGTAACGTTGTATACAAATTATCAACTGTGATTCATTTTTAATTAATGGTTTATTAGACAGAAATTTGGTTCACCCAATTATTTGATAACAGTCGAAGCTTCTTTCAGTATCTTAGTGTTGCCGCTGTCCCGTAGAGGGTGCCGCTGTTCTTAACCCCTTAAACCCGACGGACCCAACAGTGGGTCCAGCTGCCACGTGACTTCGGCTCGCTCTGTAAACAAAGGCTCCACTTGCCTTTAATTTTTTTTTTTTTTTTTTATCCGCTAAAAGAGGCTTTAATCTTTCAAAAAGTATTCTGCATAAAGGTTTTGCCCAAAATGTTAAGATTTTAGAGCTATTTAAAAACAGCTGATGAGATATAACGGTCCTCAGGCGATGACGCGACTGCCTGGAAAACCCCCGATAAGCCGATCATCACGGCCATTTTGTGGCTTCACGAGACAGTGGAAAGACTCTCAGAGCATGGCACAGGATGTTCAGCTATGCAACATCATGACGTATTTTCCGGAACCCGATCTAAACGTCTGCGCTCTCCGTGCGCTCTCCGTGCGCTCTCCGTGCGCTCTCTGTGCGCTCTCCGTGCGCTAGAGAGAATTTTCACTGTACACAGCTTATTTGAATGCTTCCAACTACGCCCATCGAAACCTATCCCGAAAATAACCATTCACTGAGCGCATTTGAATAGAACTGCAATGGCGCAGAGGAAGATGATAGATGTGGAGGCGCTGGAGGAAATATTTCGGAGCGACGTGGAGCTGGAAGACTCTTCTGATAGCTGGTGGGATTCGGACGAGGAGGAAGAGGAAGAGCCGGACACAGCTGACAGAGTTGATCTCGGTGATGGGTAAGTTTTCCCCCATCACACAAAATATTTGATGTATTGTTCTTTCTATCTATCTATCTATCTATCTATCTATCTATCTATCTA